GAGAAAGAGAGTAGAGAGAGAGAGAGAGAGAGAGAGAGAGAGAGAGAGAGAGAGAGTACTTTTTTCTTCATTAGATTAGAAGCGCTGCGGGATGACGATGACGTTGACGACGTGGGTGCTGATCGCGACGTACAAAAATGACGGTGTGGGTCGCGACGTAGAAAACGACGACACGGGAGATGGCGATGCGGGAGATGGAGACGCGGAAGACGGTGACGCGGGAGATGGCGACGCGGGAGATGGAGCCGCAGGAGATGACACCGCGGGAGATGGCGACGAGGGAGATGGCGACGAGGGAGATGGAGATGCGAGGGAGATGGCGACGCGAGGGATATGGCGAAGGCAAGGAGGATATAGATACTTAAATGTTTGGCGACGCGAGGGATATGGCAATGGCAAGAGTGGATAGTGCGGGAGCGAGACTTCGCTTGTCCGCTGTACGGGTTGGCCACACCTGCAATTGCCTGCGGCTACAGCGCTGTGGCGTGAATGTGCCGAATGGTGTTGGCGTCATTCCAAAGGCGGATGCATTCGTGTGGGCCCCCAAAAAGAAAGGTGGGCGGAAAAGTTTCCGTCAGCAGGTGTATAGTAGTTGTCGATTGAGCACGATCAGCCAGTTGGAACTAACCAGTCCTCCCGAAATTACGGCCCGCCCTCCCGTAACGGTTACGGAAAGGGTGATTTCGAGATGGGACGGTCCGCGAAACAAAAAGGGCTCGCCTGACGACACAGCCCCCGATGCGACTCTCCGTCGGGACGACCCGTACGGCGGCCATCACAAGGGCCCTCCCCCCCCCCCCCACACCCGCCCCCCCCCCTCTCAGTAACCACCATGCTAGTGGACCGCATCAATCGAACCCGGGTGGCTGTCAACCCCATTCGCTGGTGTTGTTTGTTCTGTGTGCTGCCGCAGCGACGTGTCTGCCATCGCAAAAAGACGCCCGCCATCATATCGCAGGCCTCATGTGTTTTCAGGCCCTCGTTCTTCCATGCAATCGTCGATAGCGGGGGGCGCTTCCGTAAACGGCACGTGACGTGCGACTTTGTGTGTGAATACGCTCACGCTGGGCTCTTCTTACGTGTGCTTGACGTGTTTATCGAATCGTAGGTGAATAACAGGCCTACGTCCTCTACTTGGCCCCTTAACTCTTCCAAGGCCCTACGTCTTCTCATCGCCCGTCCACATCTTCTTCTACCCTGATTTTTGGTTCCTCTTTCCCCACCTTCCTGAAGAGATCAGAATGCAGTCACCCATTTACATCTTCTTTTCCCCCATGGCCGGCTCCGTCACATTCCCCGTCATTTACACACGAAGTCGATCAGCACACAATCTTGACGATGCCAAAACCAATCGCCATGCCACGTCATACACTCGTCAGTCGACGTCAGATATGTTCGCCACGCACTTCTACTGATTAGAACCACGAAAGTCACGAGCTATTGACATATGCTGACATCATCATCCTGTGCATAACGTCAGCATATGACACTAGCTTGCGGCTTTCGCGGTCAAGATCGCTAGACGGACTTGACAAACACATCTGACGCGTGAACGACGTCGCATGGCCATTAGGCTTCACTTCCTCAAGATCGCGTGTCGATCGACTTGCTGATCCAGTCTGCCTATCCTCGGTATTGACGTCTTTCGGATCTTGTGCCATCGACTTGGTGATCCCATATGCCTATCATCGGAATGTTGGGCGCCGAACTCTCACAACACATGCTGCTCCAATCAATATTTGTCAGGCGTCAAACGTCTCCTTTGCGAAACCCACTGCGCACCGCCAAGATCCATCGCCCCGTGTCGCACACACAACTAGCACTGAGGAAGCCACCCGTCCTCGGGCGTCACACACCTCACGCGCATTGGCAATATTTCTCGAAGACCTGTCACGCACCTCCAAGATGAAAGGAGCACTGACAAGTTCTGCCGCGCACCCACAACATCCTCAGAGCACCGCCATTCATGCAGCATCCCATCGCAAACGCCAAGATCGAGCGTGGCGCCGATCGACTTGCTGATCGAGTCTGCCTATCGTGGGTCTTGACGTCTTTCTTGGATCTTGTGCCGGCCGACTTGGTGATCCCCTATCTGCCACGCGTCGAACTTCTCCTTTGCGAAGACCCACCTCGCACCGCGAAGATTCATCGCCCGTATCGCACACACAACTAGCACTGAGGAAGCCAACCGTCACAGGGCGTCACACACCTCACGCGCATTGGCGAGCGTCGAACTTCTCCTTTGCAAAGACCCATCACGCACCTCGGAGATGAAAGGAGCGCTGACAAGTTCTATCGCGCACCCACAACATCCTCAGACCACCACCATTCATGCAGCATCCCATCGCAAACGCCAAGATTTGAATATGCCACACTCTGACGTGGACATGGTGCGCGACGACGACGGCGTGTTCACTTTTGTGTTGAAGGAAGTCATTAATCAAATCATAGAATCCCCGGCGATTACATTTCGATTCTGATTAATCCGAGCCGTGTTTTTTTGACATAGTGAGGGGGGCGTGGGGGGCGTGGAGCGGGAGCGGGAGCGAGAGCGGGAGCGAGAGGGTGGCAGGGTGCCGTGGGGAGGGGGTCGCGTCGGGAACTCTATGGGGGAGCCGGGCAGGAAGGGAATGGGTCCGACGGAAGGGGGGCATCGACTTCCAATCATCGAACTTGCAAATCATGATATGCAATTTTCTGCCTTCTTCTCAGGTTCGGATGTATCCGAACCACAACCGAACATGAGCAAGGGATGGCACTCCCGGCTGTTGTGAGTATTTTTTTCGTGCCGAAGGGGGAAGGCAATTATCTCACAGGACGTGTTAGTTCCGCCTCATTTTGAAACGTTTGATGTAGTTTGGATGAATCCGAACCACATCCCTCGGTGCGGTGGGAAGTCTCAGCCGGAACCTATTTATCACCCGCGGTCGCGACCGGGGGCCATTTTACCGCCCGCGGTCAGGATCTCGCCCGCGGTGGCGGACCGTCCGCGACCTTGTCCGGTCGGAAAACCCCGATATTTTTAACCCTTAGGATAATAGTCCAAAACAAAATTAAAAAAATGGGGTTGTAGGTTTTTGTGTGATCTACAACCGTATTTTTGTAGTTTTATTTTTTAACTTTTTATTTAAAAATAAAAATAAAGAACAAAAATCCCTTATCCAAAAGCTCTTCACTTTATTTTTTTTAGTGAGAAAAATAAAGGATTTTGTTTGTTTTTTATCTCAAATTTGGTAAGGGATTTTGATATGACCCCAAGGCAAAAGTTTTTTCAGTTTAGTTTTTGGCATAACATATGTGTTTTTCGTATTTTTCTGAATTCTTTTTTTTTTTTTTTTTTTTTTTTTTCAAGACCGCGGTCCGCGGTTGTGCCCACGGCGACCGCGACCACAGGTGACTCATAGGCAATAACGGTTAACGAGGTAACCGCGTGTTCAACTTCAGATGAAGGAATTTGTAAATTATGAAAATGATCCATCCGAACCAGGGTCTTATGCATCCCCTCCAAGGGGAATGTTAGAGGGAGGGCTTGAACATTCGATACGCCATGTTCATAGCCACTGTCCGAATAAGTGCCAGTTTAATTAGGATGTATCGGACTTCGGTAATTGAACTTGTACAGAACAAAATTTTCGAAAGGAATTAAATGTGTTGAGGATTTATCCATTGAACGGTGACTCTTACGCATTGTATATTAATTTATAATGAGGATCTCCTTTCCTCACCCTCATATAAATTTGGAGTTTCTCGAACAAAAAAATACTATTTAGAAAATAATATACTATTTTAAGGAATACCATGTTACACGCACGCACACACACACACACACACACACATACACACTTACACCCCCCCACACACACACACACACACACTCAATCAATCAATCAATCAATCAATCAATCAATCAATCAATCAAATTTGATTGATTGATTGATTGATTGATTGATTGATTGATTGATTGCGATTGGTTCGTTGATTGATTAATTGTGTGTGCGTTTGTGTGTTTCTGGGCCAGTGCTTTTCCACTGGCCCAACAAACTTAAAAAAAAAAAAAAAATTCATCAACGACTTTTTTTTTTTTTTTTAATTTYKWTKTTYTTTWYTTTTTTTTYYTTTCCCCAACWTKTTAMWTTTAAAAAAAAAAAAAACACATGCGTGTAGARTTTTTTTTTATCTACACGCCCATAGTTTTTTTTTTTTTTGCCCATTTTTAGGCCTTGAAAAAATTGTCGGGGGTTCTTGCCCACACTCGGTCGAGGGCGGTCGACCCCCCGGTCGGGATCCCGACTGCATGTGGTAAAAAGGTTCGCGGTCATGACTCCGGGTGATACATAGGTTATGGGCCACGTGATGGCTGAGACAATTGGCTTATGCCAACGGACTGAAAAAAAAAAATATAGTAACTAAAAAATCAACGCGCTGTCGTACCAAATACCCTTACAAGGGTATTTGGCGTGTTTTTGCAAGTCACGCAAGTGCAGTGTCGCCCGCCTGATGGCGTGCTTGTAAGCGGGGGCATAGGTTCTTGTCAGGGTGAGAGGCGCGCGTGGCGGCGAGGGGTATCGACGGTGAGGCGCAACTGCGCGCTGCCTAGGCGTGCGTGGCGTCACAGGCCAGCGGGTCGCACAACGGTTGTTTGTATTTTATATTAAATAATTGTTGTATTAAATTCCTGTAAGCCTCGACATTTTTGCGTAGTCCGGACGTGACGCCGGACTCAATGATCGTCTGGATAGTCGAGGACCCTGAGCGCGCGGCTCGTTCGGATGGATCGGTATGTTCGGGATGCTGGCAATAGTCCTAGACCACACCGTGGCTAAGAATGAGGCGCGGCTAGAGGTCGGGGTTGTAATTGTGCTTGAGGCAAGAGGGCCGGTGGTGCTGAATGTATATCACTTGTGTTTCGAGTCTGGCGAGGTCGTGTGGGGTTGTGTTGTAGTTATGGGTTGCCTGAGGTGAGACTACAAACCGGTTTTGTGGCCGCGCCGAAGTTACCCGTCACAGTATTTTGCGGAACCCCGTGGCAGCCGCACCCGAGTTCTAGCCTCCAGCGAGGGAATATGCGGGAGCAGTACCCACCAGCAGGTGCGCTACCTACTGTAGCGGGAGGGGTAACTACCGGGCCAAGGGTCAGGCGGTAGTATCGGGGTCAAGCCTCTTCAATAAGCTGACTGCTGTGCCTCCCCTCAGGTCTCCTCCCCTATGAGCATCGGCGTGTTGGGCGCTGAGTTAAGTGGCAGCAAGCACTGGATAGCGGAGCGGACAGGCAGAGTCGGCGGCGCCAGGGGGCAATGGGGTAGTGATTGCAGAGCCAACACCTATCGAGGCGTCTAGGTGAGTGCACAGTTTTCGTCCGACCGGAATGGGCAGCGAGTGAAAGGCGAGCAAGTGGGTGGGGCGCTGAGTCATACGGGGGGGCTGGCTGTAATGTGACCGGGTCATAAGACCGAGGGCTATGGGCAGATCCGCTGTGCAGGAAGGAAGCCGGTCATCGGCTGGGAGATTGGAACAGGCTGCGAGAGAGGGGCCGGTCGGCTCGGCTGGGGAGTTGGTTGGCGCTTTTTAGCGGGTTCCATGTTTTTCCCGACTGACGGGCTGTTGCCATGGTCATTCGGCACCGTTGGCAGTGGTTGGCTTAGCCCGCAGCGCACCCTATGGGCACTGAGGCGGACAGGCAAGCGGAGAAGCGGGCTCCGGCGTCAGGGGCTGTCGGACCAAAGA